TTTTCTTCTAAATGTGAATAATGAGAAAATTGAGAAGGAGAAAGATAATATATATGTATTTGATGTCGATTATACTGTAAAAATTACATAAAATTACATAATAGACTAAGATAAGCTCAAATCTTTAATTTGAGTTTTGTCAATTATGTTTTGATATCAATTATGTAACAAACGGTGATCGTTAATATTTTTTCTCAAGTTGATACTCGATCTCTAATTTCATTCACTATGTTGATACTTTTAACAAAATTTTAAAATTATTTTTAAAAACACATGATGATATTATCAATAAAAATATAAAAAATATCAAATATAATTAAAGTTCAATATTAATTTGGGAGAAAAAAGTAATTAGATATTAATTTATAAACAATTTTTTCAAGTATCAACTTGAAAAAAAAAAAGTTTAATTCAGATATTAAATATATTTTTAAACTATATATATATATATATTAAAAAATCAACCTCCTTGTTATTCGATCAAAATAATAATTTTTGTCAAATTTTAATGTTCATATATCAAGTTGGAAGGCCATGGAAGTTGACCGATTAACAAGATAGCTTTCTGATTTATGCATGGAGGTAGACGGGAAGCTATCAAACCTTTTACGGACACTGAAACCAATTGAAAAATTCACAATAATACATATTTTTTTAAATATAATCCACTTATTCAAATGCTCCATGTTCGATGAACATCTAAGTTGATTTTGATCTATCCGATTGAAGAACTTTTAAAGACTCAATTAAAATAATTAATCCAAAAAATGGTCTTAGATGCTTCAAGAAATGGGAGGCCCCGCTAGCTAACATCAGAGATTACAGGTGCATGAACAGAGTCTTCAACCACCAAATTGCCCAAACGTAAATGCGGGGAACCTGTCGCCCTCCAAAACTACACATTTTCTAATTTGATTTAACCCCAAGAAATGGGGGTTCATCTTCGGCGTGAGCTATTACGCACTCTTTCAAGGGTGGCTACTTCTAGGCAAACATCTTGGCTATCTCTGCACTCCTACCTCCTATATCACCGAGCGGTCATTCAAGGGCCTTAGTTGGTGATCCGAGTTGTTTTCCTCTCGAGGATGAAGATTATCCACCATCGTCTCACTAGTCGACCTCGACTCATGTTATTTTGAGGTCACATCTAGTATTCAGAGTTTGCCTCGATTTGGTACCGTTCTCGCGCCCTGGACCGATACCTCGTGCTTAGTATAGGGTACGATAGTTAAGAAACGACTAGGCTCTAGATCTAAGTAAGCGATAGGAGGAATAAAAATCAAGATTTTCCATGCCCAATCCCCATTTGAGGTGTATCCCCACCAATCAATCTCATGTGCTTCCATCGAAATGTTATAAAGTAGTGTGTTTGTCTTATGTTATATAGATTGAATATGCGGTAAAATTACACTTGAGAGAATCAATATGCATCACATCTCATTTATTCATTAAATATATCGTACCATAAACTTTTCAAATCGAATCAAACAAAATTTAGGCCATAAAGTTTAACAAAAATCTTCAAAGCTCAACAAGTTATAAAACAACTATTCTACCGTGTATAGTTTGAAGGGAAAAAACCATTGATCTTGTCTTTTTAAGGCGACCAAAAGACCAAATTCATGCACATAAACTATTATAATGTTTTGGTCCCATAGCGAAACAAAACAAAAAAAGTTGAGCTTTAGGGGTTGTATTTTGCAGTGTTTGATTGAAAATATTTCACTGTTTATTGCAATTAATGTTGCCATATTCATGCATTTAGTACTATGACATCTATATATATATGTGACCCTCATCCAAATAACCAGTAAAAGGTGACAAACATTGTTGGAAAACATCTTTTGGTACGAAGAAGCTTTCACAACATGTTATGTCGGCTGCTATTGAACTTATAATATTTTTTTGTAGGTGTCTGTGAAACATTAAGTTAAAATTGCTGAGGTTTTATGCTTCTAATTTATTTTGATAATACATTTATCTATTAGAAAAAAATAAGTGTAGGGACTTCTCGAATAGGATATGATCATGTACGATTCAAACGAATTCAAATTCTTTTTTATCGGATCTAAGACGATTAAAAAAATACTCATTTAAATTGGAGATTAAAATTACCTTCATTAACTAGAATATAAATGATTAATTTCAATATTTTTAAAACTATATTGATAAAGGTAGTATTATATATATATAGAGAGAGAGAATACATGATACTACTTTTCTTAATCATTTTATGTTTCCTTCCTCATATAATATTTCAAATTGTTATCTTTAAAAAATATCATCATATATTTTATCTTTATTGATTACTAATCGATTTAATGAAATAAAACGTTATATTTTTAAGAAAATATCGTTCTAATAAATTATATAATATTTGGTATTCAATTAACAAATCATACATTATCGGTAATGTTCAGATTTAAAGTATTTTTTTAATGTTGTTTAATTTACCAATTGTTATAGTTGTTTGATTGTAGTTTAATTTCAACTGTTATGACCATTTAATTGCAGTCGTTATAGTTGTTTGATTGCAACTATTATAGCAGTTTAATTGCAACAGGTTTCCAATTTTTTGTTTTTCTGATACCAACGATTTTCAACTATTGAAATGATCAAAAAATTAATTTTTATCTTATATTCTCTTAATTTTTTTTTCACTCTTTCAAAAGCTTAATTAGTTTTAAGTTTTGAGAGAATATTAGTATCATCAAAGTTCACTTTAATTTTTAGATGTATAAACTCTAGGAGAGACCATACTAATCTCAGGAGACGTTCGTCCATTGTAGCGATTATATACACATGACGAATTCATTTGTAAGATATTAATTTACTATGACACAATTATTTATTTAAATTATTCTAATTAGTACTATCATATCGTCTTACAACGATATAATTTTCAACATACATCACCAAAAAAAAAACATCTTATATTAAATTCATCAGGTAGTCTCAATAATAATTAGAATTATTATTCTTCTAAGAAGCTCTTAATTTGAATAACTATATCTATAAAATATATAAACATTATTAATTACTCTATACTATTAAAAAAATCATATATTTCATCTTCAATGGGAAGCATACATCTAATGGTTTTCGTACTTTCAATTCCTTTGAAATATTATATATTATTTTATATGTTGCAAAGTTGGCCGCCGTCTCTGATCAGATTGTGAGAATCTGACAGTCAAATATATATATATATATATGTTGAAGCTGACGGTCAAATGTTAACAGCTACGAATGCCATTGCTCTCGTCTGTTGTTTCTTTCAAACTTATATATATATATATATATATATATATATGACTTTTACTATATTTTATTTATTTTATTTTTCTTTCTTCTTTGGGAAAGTAAAATGTTTTGGTCCGTATATCATTACTTAAGTTGAAAACCATTGCTTCATGCATAGCTTTCATTAACACACATAAAATTCTTTTTAACTTATTTTAGCGACAAAATGCAATAATTTTTGGAATATAGTTAAAAATTTTAATTTATATTTATGAAAAAAATGATATAAAATAATAATATCTTTTTTATAATAAAATTTTATTATTTTTATTTTTTAATAAATGAGAAACGTAACGCAATTACAATAATTTGTTCGTAAGAAAATAGGGGACCATAAGTGTCCCTGCGGAAGATATCAAGTAATTAAGACTGAAAATAATAAAAAATAATAGAGAGACATCTGATAGAGTGTCCATTTTCACGATCTCGATAAATCTTCTTGAAGTCAATGAACCAAAATTTGTTGTAAAGAATCGAAATGGATCTAACCAACACGAAAGGGCTATCCATGGGCGAAAGGAAAAGAAGGCTAAGAGCCTCACTACTATCAGTCTGAACGACAGCATATTTATAATATTGTTGCCACGCGATTCGAACACCTTCAAAACTCGACCTCTAACACGGATGGGTAGCCGATATACCTGCCAAAGGCAAACAAACAGTTCCCATTGGTTATCAAGAATCAATTAAGTGGTTGTTTCAAGATCAGTTATGTATATTTTTTTTTATTCCTCCACTTCTTTAAAAAAATTAAATATCAATCACATTGTATAATTGTATGTATTAATGAGTTAATGATAACACAATTTCAAAAATAAAATAAAATAATTTTTTTTAAATAATCATGTAACACAATTTGAATCCATCAAGTGACCTCAATAAGTAAAAGGAAATATTGTTTTCCCTAAAGGTTTTGGGTTCAAATAACTGTGTCTGCAAGATATTTGTATGTTGTAAATTGATTTCTTAACAGATATTGCCTTGTAATCACCTCAGACTATTAAAAAATGTGACACAATTTCATTCTATAATTATATAAAAAAAATTACACTATCAATACATTTTTTTTTTATAAATTTGGGGTGAATACAAATATGTTCAAAGGCTTTCAACCCTTTGACAATGAACACTTATACCTTTGGAATACATAATGCTCAAACCTGAGACATAAAGAGATAACAACAAATCTCTTAATCACTGAGGTCGCTTGGTTCATACTACACTATCAATACATTAATATTAATATTTTTTGAATAACCTAAGATGATTACAATGTAATATATGTTCAATATTTTGTTAATCATTTACATTATATACATCTTGTAGATATCATTGTTTGAACATGAGATTTATAGGGAGTACAACATTAAATATTGATATTTAAAATTTTAAAAATTATTAATTTTAGTTTTCATCGAATCATATATGTAATCTATACAACGGGAAGATAACATATTATATATATTTATACATATGCATGAGTAGGGCCAATCCACGTGAAGACTGTCCCTATGCATGACTAGAATGCTATATGTAAGCCGCCTAGTTAGCGACTTTCTCTTCTTCTATTTCTTCTTCACACATCCTTTTCATTTTTTTTGTAGGACCCCATTCTTCAGTGGCTTAATCAAAACTTCATATATATATATATCAATCCACTAGAAAATTCCCAGCCCAAATTTACTTACTTTGTTCTGAAAAACATGGATTTCCAAAGCCAAAAGCTATATTCCCCAAAATTCAACAAAAAGAGGCTAAACCAAGAGCAAGTGAGGTTGCTCGAGAGGAGTTTCAGTGCCAACAAGAAGCTTGAGCCTGAGCTCAAGCATCACCTCGCCAACCAGCTCGGCGTTCCGCCGAGACAGGTGGCGATTTGGTACCAAAACAAGCGAGCCCGATGGAAGACACAGAACTTGGAACTCGACTACAACACCCTCCAAGTGAAACTAGACAACGCATTGTCCGAAAATAGGAGGCTCGATAAAGATGTCAAGTATCTCCAAGAAGAGTTAAGGAAAGCTCAAGAGATGATGTTTGCCATGAACAGTTCTCAAAGAGATTATTATCATCACCATCAACAACAAAATCATCAGCCGCTTAACTTTGTTTCCTGCAAATCGACGGGGTCTAGTGAAGAAGGGGGAAGCTCGAGCTTCCATGAAGATCATGAAATGTTGCAAATTGATGAACTCTATGCTTGTTTGATTGGTGCAGATAAGTCAACTTGGAGCTAAGCTGGGTTTTATGGGAAATTTGATCCTCTTTTTTTCATTGTATTGAAGGTGCAATAACATGTTCCTTGTTGGGTGTCTAAAATTTGTAAGAAAATAGTTGTGACTTCTTAGGGTGTGTTTGGTCAGAAGGAAAAGTCAAAAGGATCGACCAAGCAATTATATATATATATATATATATATATATATATATATATATATATATATATATATATATACAATGGCTAAGTTATGCAGTATATCGAAGCTGTTTGGTTTAAAAAATTCTTTTTTAGTGTTGATTTTGTAGCAATCGTATCATTGAAATGATCATGTCTTGCATATAAGCAAAGTTGGCCTGAATTAGCGAGGGATGATGCAATACTTTATATTAGCGGTAAATTTATAAAATTTTTAGATAAATAAAGATAAATTATTAATAAAATATTTTCAAAAATAATATTTAAATTATATAGTTTTTTTTTTTAAAGAATATGACCATCCCACTAAACTCCTTCGCTACATTTTTGGCTCTCGGGATGATGATAAATTTGTCCTTCATATTGGCAAAGTGATTGACCCTTCTTTGAACCTTTATAGATTGCTTTGTTTACATCCAGCATTAATGCTTAATGCAAGTGGCATCTTGACAATATCACTTAAGACATTCATGCATCGTTCTTTGGTAATCAATCATTTTCGGTATCTTCCTCTATTCTCATATACATATATATATATATATATATATATATATATATATATATATAATGTAAAAAAATCGTTTTTATTAAAAAAGAAAATATTTAAAATTATAAAGAATGTTTATAACCATAAATGTAAACTAAATATAATTAGAATATTTTTTCTATAATGATTGATACAAGAAACTAATCATTTGAGATCATACAATGATCATACAAATGAAAAGTTAAAAACTCATACAAAAAAATTAAACAAAAGGTAAATACAAACATATTTAATTGTATCGACAAATTTACCATAATAGAGAATCAAACTACTGATAGATCACTCACATTATCTTATATATTACAATAATAATATAAACATCACATAAATACATATACATTTCCAAGCCAACTAAACACATTAGTTGACTAAGAAAATAACAACTAATAGCAATTAATTGAGGTTAAGCAAGTTGTTATTTTTCAAAGTAAAAAAACTACTTCCTATTTGATTTATTAATGGATCATTAAATTCAGCCAATAAGTTATTATATCTCTCGTCAAAGACTACAACCACTAAGCTGAAGGTTTTACAAAATTTCTGGAAAAAGTCAAATTGGTCCTATACAAATGGGGTTTTGGATAAAATCTCTCAACCCACAAACATAATCATTGTAAAAACATCACCGCCCACCATCTCACTCTTCTCACTCTATCAACCACCTCCAGACCCATAGCACACCTAAAAATCATTTCAGTCCCTCACTGTAAAATCAAACACCAACCCAAATATTGAAACAAGCACACAATATCACAACCATCAACAACAGCAAAAAAAGTAAAAAAAAATGAAGAACAAAAGAAAGAGAGATGGTCGAAAGTTAGAACACCACCATATATTGATTTGACGTTGCTCTAACGACGGAGGATGATGTTCGAAAATAAAGGAAGTCGAAGAGTTTTGGCTTAGATCCATCACTTTGGGATTTTTTTTGGTGAAAATGATATCAGATTCATGTTTAGGAGATGTAAAAAGAGTATGTATGAAAAATTTGGGATTCAATTGTCACCATTAACGTCGGTAGACGGTGATCGAAATGAAAAATGATGTGGTGATCGACGACCAACTTATTTGTAAAGTAGAGAGAAAATGAGGGGAAATAAAAGCAAAAAAAAATAAAGAAGGAAAAAAGGATTTTATAGAGGATTCAAAACGACGTTGTTTTGGTGTATACTTGAGTTTTTCAAAACAACGTCGTTTTATTGCTTGTGTCATGTCATAACACCGTTAAATAGTTAACGACAGAGTTATCAAAATAGGAGCATTTCAAAAGTTCAGTGAACAAATTAAAACAAATTAAAAGTATAATAAGTAAAATAGGAGAAAGAGTAAAATTCAGTAAGAAACAATATAATTTACCAATTTTTATTGTTATGTATATGTACTATCGATTTATTATTTTATTTTATCTTTAAATGAAATATTTAAAAATTATCATTTATTGATCGATTATAAGATTAATATATATATATATATATATAAATTATTTATCATTTTATTTATGATAATCTATTGATTAATTTTGCATAAATATATATATTTGGATATAATTTTTTTCCAATCACATTTTGGATGTAACAGAATCTAATGTTTGTTAGATTTAAACTTGTGCGTATGCGTGTTAATAAATTATAAGTTCAATAATATATTGATAACTAAAAATTGGGTAAACTGTTTAAATAATTGCTAAAATTTTAAAATGTTTGTATTTTGTTCTTTAAACTTTCAAAACATACACTACAATCACTGATTTTTAATTCACTGCTATTGTTATTGTTTCTAATAGTTGTCGTTAAAAAAAAAACCGATGTGGCATGTTAAAGATTATAGATTTTTTTGCTAAGAAATTGAAAATAATAATGTTAACGAGCACAATGTAAACTTTTCAAATATTAATGCTATAAACGCAATCTTATACAAACATAAATGATCGTCTGTGTAGTTTATGCTAAAAATAAAGAACTCAATATTGCGTTTATTGGCAGTGAAAACGCAGCGTTTTCATTTCTAGAATTATATATTCGACTTCCCTCTCCTTTTTTTTTTTTACAAACCTCGACAAGTCGACAGATCTCAAATAGACTTTCATCTTAATTGCTCAAACATGGTAATGAGTTATTGTAAAAATACTAAAATAGGAACATATGTTGAAGAAGTATTTGAAGAATCCATTTAGAAAACACTCAAAAAACTCAAACCCTCAAAGTGTTTTAATCACCCACAAAAATCACACCCATGATTGGAGGAGATCTCTGCACGAAAAACCAACGACTCCAACCCTCGTTGACCTTCCAAATCAACAACTGAAGAAAAGAAAAAAAACAACAACAAAAAACTTCAGTTTCAACAGGCAATGAGTTGTTTTCCAGTTTGTCTTATACAAAAAAGCAAGCCATTGTTTCTCTTATGTTATTCCTCGTAATCCATGACCAAAAACACCCATCGCATGCCAAATGAGCTGTGCTGTCAAAAATGACAGCAAAATCATAGCCTGTATATAACACATATAAGTCTCAGCTCAGCTCATCTACCAATTCCAATATAAAATCTGGGTTTCTTAGCTGTGATCTCGAAAAGCACATGGCTACCTTGCCCACATGGCTTTTCTTAATCAAATTCGTCCAATAGATGACATGATAAAACGATGGTAAAATGCAAAAGTATCTCCCTTGTCCGTCTTTCCTTGCATATGATATTCAGTCTGCAGTGATGGATAAAGTTGAAGCTCTCGATCTTTTAGAGGAGTCCTGGTTTTTCGAGAACTTATTCGATAGGAGAAGAAGGATGTTAAGATGTTATTCTGATCCTTGTACTTCACCGAATTTCAGCCATGATGTTTTGGCTAAAGATTCGTGTGATCAAACCGGCAATGGTTTGGTTCGTGCACCATCGTTCCCGCCGTGTATAGGGAAGGAAGAAAAGGTTCGAGAAAGTAAGGACAATGGTGGGAAGATCAAATTGAATACGCAGTTATCAGTTCAGATATCGGAAATGACGTGTTCCGATAGTAAGATACATGAGATCAGATCGACCGATGAGTTGTCGCAACGTAACTTAGTAAGAACACCTTCTTTGCCTTCTCCAAGGAGGACTAATGAGTTAACTCAGGATAATGACAGTGACCTTAGAATGAGCAAATTGATCCGACAAGCAATGGCTAACTCACCAGATATATTACCCCCAAGGCACAGTCATAACAAGGCACTCATGATCCTGTATATATAATTTTTCTGCAATTTGTCAATGTGAATTTCATTTTAATCTTCTGTCATTTGCATTTGCAGGCAATGAATTTGCAAAGATCTAGTAGACCGCCAAGAAACCAAGAAGTGGAAGCCATTAACAACACGAATGAGGCCTCGGTCACGGAGGCCGTCATTCGAATCCGAAGCCGATGTTGCGAAAAAGCCCTAACGATCTTGCATTCCAAGAGCTGCAAGGGTTCAAGGACTTAGGATTCACATTCGACGACGAAGATTTGAGCCCCGATGTGGTTAATATACTCTCGGGCTTGCAGGGAACTAAGATAGATGAGTTGGAACAAGGGAAAGTGAGAAGGAAGCCATATTTGTCCGAGGCATGGCTCGTACAAGGCCCTACACCTCCTCTTCCAGCTTGTGTAACTAAGAACTCAGCAGAGGATATGAAGGCACAAATCAGGTTTTGGGCCAGAGCTGTTGCAACTAATGTTCGACACGAGTGCTGAGAATTCATTACAAAATTTGACATTACTATTTATAATCTAATTTTTCCAGTTACCCATATTTTATTTTGTTTTCATTTAGGACTGATAACATATTCTTTCCCTAGTATTCATGTTCCAAAGGTAGCACAAAGTTCTTGTCCGATACCAAGACAGATATTTGTAATTATTTTGTTTGGATAAATATTTTTAATATAAAGTTTGAGTTGCCAATAGATTTTGAAATTTTTTATAATTGGAGTTGAAGATAAAACAGATATTTTTCAGAATACAATGCTTCAAATCTAGACCCATAAATGATTTTGATGACAACCAAATTTCTCTAAAGCTAAAACCTTTAAAAGAGAAACCCTCTGCTGCAAATGCTTTCATCTCTTCATCTCCTGTCATCTTCTTCCCCTTCCCTTCTCTCCCTCCTCCCCTCCACAACCCATTTTCTTCCCCACTCTTCCTTCTCCAAAACCCCAGCTTTTTCTCTCCTTTCTCTCTCCATTCCAAACTGCACCTTGGGTCATCATTAGTTCAAGCTCAAGGACCCGTCACCACCATAGCAGAAGCGGAAGAAGATGGACCTTTTGAGCTACCACCATCTTCCACTTCTACTTCAATCTTCGCAACAAACGATGACCCCACTCCCCTCCAAACCGCCACCAGTGTTTTGCTTACCGGCGCCATTGGGGTCTTCCTGTTTCGCTCGCTCAGACGCCGTGCTAAGCGTGCCAAAGAGTTGGTGAGTATCCACTTTGCTGAAAACAAAATTTCCCTAGCCTGTTTTGGTTGATACTCTCAAATTCTTAATTTTAGGAATTGGGTTCTCCTCATCTGGTATATTTGAATCGGAATTTCAAGTTTAAACTCTCAATTTCCCATTAAAGGTTGGAACTTTGAATAGGGTTGGATGTTAAAGATAGTAGTTTTCTTGTCTCTAGAAATTTAGGTCATCAGGAGCGCAGAAATCATTGAAGGAAGAGGCACTAGACAACTTGAAAGCAATGGCGTCAACTTCAATTGATACCAAATCATCGACACCCTCAGCAGTTCAAGCATTGTTGGGAAGCATAGCTGCTGGTGTCATTGCTCTTATTCTTTACAAATTCACCACAACTATTGAGGCAGCTCTTAATCGGCAATCGGTTTCCGATAATTTCTCGGTTTGTAGTTGCCTAGCTCTTTCAATTTGTGAGCAGTTTATCTATGAGCTTACCTTACTTCTTAGCATACATGTAGTGCCCTTTCCTGTTTGAGAGTATTTACCATTTTTCTTTACAATTTTCATCTTTATGCTTTGCAGGTTCGTCAGATAACAATAACAGTCAGGTAGATTTCAACTAGTTCATTTTATGCTCCTAGCTGTAAATCTCTGCACTTTTCATCCTTTATATGCTTCTGATTTGCAGGACTATTGTGAATGGATTGTGCTACCTTGCAACATTTGTTTTTGGCATCAACTCTCTAGGCTTATTCCTTTATTCGGGTCAGCTTGCTGTAAATTCGATCATGGGAAGTGGCACAAATAATGAAAACGAGAGTAAAGGTGAGGAGAATGTAGTCTCACCGAGTTCGGTGAAAGAAAATGTTGCAGAGGGTATCGAATCGACCAGGGGGAGGGAGGATCAGAGTTCAGGTGATAAACAATAATTGTTAAGTTCCGTCTGACTTTTCATTTTTTTTAAAGTATTCGTGTTTGAAGCATATCGGAACATTGATATGATCTTCCAAATGCATGAAAATCTGAAACTGATATCTGAGTTCGAGTAACATCGATCCGTGCAGCCTATGCCTGATAGTGGAATCCGAAACTGAAAATCCGAAACAGATAGTTGTTTACCGAATATACACAATTTTCAGGTTTACCAATCTCTATTCTCTTCTCTATTCAAGGTTGAATATTCACAATTCAACCCCAGTTTCATCCTTTATAAACCCTCCAATATGCCAATAAACCATGTAAACACAACCAATTAACCATTTACCCCATCATACATAATGATTCATGTATTTTCATGTCTTGATCTTAGAAAATACCATAAGGTTCAACTTGTTACTACTAGTGTCACTCTCATCCGTTGAGCTTCCCAACAACCTCACATTGCTAGTAAAATATTGTACGGTGTAGTCACCATCTTATACAAGTAATTTTGTTTGGATTGTTGTATTCTCGAAAGTGGACGTTGTCTCCCAAAATTAACACAGTATTCCAGATTTCGTACACCCTGAAACTCTGAATAGTGCTTCTACTTTCTCAAAAACAATAAAAATGAGACTTTTAAGCAGAGTATATACTATGAGAAAAAGAGACGTCCAAGAAAGACGTAAAACAAAATTGATGAGTTGTGAATAGCTTTGTTGCGTTGCTATGTAACTAATGGAGTTTCGTTCAGGCATATTCACAAACAGGTTTCAGCAGATGGCCGTTTCTAACTCATGAGTTGAAGCATATGCAAAAGCAGTAGAAGTATATTCGTTGAAAGCAACAAACATCGACCAAAACTAGAGTTATCTGCAGTCGCATCAACTAAGTGCCTTACACATCGAAGAAAGTAACCAAAAACCACAGAGAAAAAGAATTTGAAAGTTGGTTTTAAAATATATTAAAATTAATAGTTTATTCGTATAAAATTATGTGTTTGTCCTTGTAAATATACGACGATGATTAACTCAAGTTAGCTTGTAATAGGTGATTGAAAAGATCGACTCAAATTTAGTAATTGTATTGTAAGTTTTAAAATTTTAATGATTAAAATACATTTGTCCTAAAATGTCGGTGATTAGTTATGTAATTTACCTTAAAAGTAAATAAAAATAGTAATGGAAAAAAGGAAAACAAACTGGCAACAAAAAGCTAACGTAGAGAAAAAGCCCTAGTTAAATCCTCCTTTGTCACATTGTTGGTTCTTCTTTAGTAGCTCACTTCACTCCGAGCAGCCGCACCATTTCCAACACAGACTAAGCAGAAGAGCAGAGAAGAAGAACCCAAAGATGAGCTGCTGCAAAAGCTTCACTTCTTCTTCTTCAACTCACCATTTCTCTTCTTTCTCCAAACCCATCCTTCCAAAATCCTTTAACTTCCATCCATTTTACTTCATTTCCTCTTCCAACCCAAACCCCAACCGCAACTCTTTCCACCTCCGTTCATGGCCGCTTCAACGCCGCCTCTCTCCGACGCCCTCCAAACGTGTCCTCGCCCAAGCGAATTCCACAGCCTCCGCGGAAGAAAAGGATTTCAAAATAGGCATAAGGACGGATTTAAAAAAGATCATGATCCTTGGAGCCGGTCCCATCGTCATCGGACAAGCTTGTGAGTTCGATTACTCGGGCACCCAAGCATGCAAAGCGTTGAGGGAGGAAGGGTATGATGTTGTTTTGATCAACTCGAATCCAGCTACCATCATGACCGACCCGGATTTGGCTGACCGGACTTACATAACTCCCATGACACCGGAATTAGTCGAACAAGTCCTCGAGAAAGAACGTCCCGATGCGCTTTTACCGACAATGGGTGGCCAAACAGCCTTGAACCTTGCCGTGGCTTTGGCAGAATCCGGGGTTCTGGAGAAATATGGCGTGGAGTTAATAGGAGCGAAGCTTGACGCCATAAAAAAAGCTGAGGACCGTGACTTGTTCAAGCAAGCTATGAAAAATATAGGTATAAAGACTCCACCTTCAGGGATAGGGAACACTTTAGATGAATGTTTCCAAATAGCTAGTGAAATCGGGGAGTTCCCATTGATCATTAGGCCAGCGTTTACTTTAGGAGGAACTGGTGGTGGGATAGCTTATAATAAGGAAGAATTCGAGGCTATTTGCAAGTCCGGTTTAGCTGCTAGTTTGACATCCCAGGTTTTGGTTGAGAAATCGTTGCTAGGATGGAAAGAATATGAGTTGGAAGTCATGAGGGACTTGGCTGACAATGTTGTGATAATTTGTTCCATTGAAAATATTGATCCAATGGGAGTGCATACTGGGGATTCGATTACCGTGGCGCCGGCACAGACCTTGACTGATAAGGAGTATCAGAGGTTGAGGGACTACAGTGTTAAGATTATTAGGGAGATTGGTGTGGAGTGTGGAGGTTCAAATGTGCAATTCGCGGTTAATCCCGTTGATGGTGAAGTTATGGTCATTGAAATGAATCCTAGGGTTTCAAGAAGTTCTGCCCTGGCTTCGAAAGCTACAGGGTTTCCTATCGCGAAAATGGCTGCTAAGTTGTCAGTTGGGTATACTTTGGATCAAATTCCTAATGATATTACTAAGAAGACTCCGGCAAGTTTTGAGCCTTCTATTGATTATGTGGTGACTAAGGTGAGGAACTTGTTTCTTTGCCTCATGGGATGCTTTTGTGGGTTTACAATGTAGATAAGATTAGGAAACACTGGTTCATTTAGCAACAATAGAAACTCAAGAGAATTGTAGTTTCCATATTTAATGCTTAAGATCATTCATCTAATAGAAGGAACAATAGATTAGAATATTTGTTTTGTGCCGAGATTGAGTTAGCATTCATTTTTTAGTTTTTACTTGCATGTGGTTTTGTATTATCAACTTCTGTGTTCTTTTTGTTTTCCTAAAATCTTTCGTCTACACTAATGATGCAGATCCCACGGTTTGCATTTGAGAAATTTCCTGGTTCCCCACCAATATTGACAACTCAGATGAAATCCGTTGGTGAATCCATGGCCCTAGGCCGCACATTTCAGGAATCCTTTCAGAAGGCAGTCCGATCACTGGAATGTGGCTACCCTGGATGGGGATGTGCTGAAATTAAAGAACTTGACTGGGATTGGGATCAGTTGAAGTATAGTCTCAGAGTCCCCAGCCCAGATCGAATCCATGCTATATATGCTGCAATGAAGAAGGGGATGAAAGTAGATGAAATATATGAGTTGAGTTTCATTGACAAATGGTTTCTCACTCAGTTTAAAGAATTAGTAGATGTGGAGCAATATCTCTTGTCCCGAAGTTTGTCTGATCTGACAAAGGATGAATTTTATGAAGTCAAAAGAGAGGCTTTAGTGATAAGCAGATAGCCTTTGCTACCAAGACCTCAGAGGAAGAAGTCCGGAAAAGACGATTATCTCTGGGAGTTGTTCCAGCATATAAGAGGGTAGATACTTGTGCTGCAGAGTTTGAGGCTAATACTCCTTATATGTACTCCTCTTATGATTTCGAGTGCGAATCAGATCCTACTGGAAAGATGAAGGTTTTGATTTTGGGTGGAGGGCCAAATCGTATTGGTCAGGGGATTGAGTTTGACTACTGCTGTTGCCACACATCATTTGCACTTCAGGTTTGCATTCCCTATTTCCTGTTTATGCTTCCACACATTCAATAATCTGAAGCTGTTTATGGCGATTTCAGTGTTTTGATCAATTTGCTGATTTTTTTTCTCCTGTCCAATTTCTTTTTTGTGATTTTCCTCTTTGCAGGTAGCTGGTTTTGAGACGATCATGATGAACTCAAATCCTGAAACTGTTTCCACAGATTATGATACCAGTGATCGTCTTTACTTTGAACCCCTGACAGTTGAAGATGTTCTAAATGTTATTGATTTAGAAAAACCTGATGGCATCATTGTCCAGTTTGGAGGTCAAACACCGCTTAAGCTCGCTCTACCCATTCAGCGTTACTTAGATAAGCATCAGCCTTTAGCTGCCAGCGGAACTGGGCATGTTCGCATATGGGGTACATCACCAGATTCCATTGATGCAGCTGAGGACAGAGAAAGGTTCAATGCAATCCTTGAAGAGTTAAAGATTGAGCAGCCGAAAGGAGGGATTGCCAAGAGTGAAGACGATGCTCTTGCCATTGCAAAAAATATAGGTTACCCGGTAGTTGTCCGGCCTTCTTATGTATTGGGTGGCCGAGCAATGGAGATTGTATATAATGATGACAAGCTTGTGACATATCTAGAGAACGCTGTTGAGGTGGACCCAGAACGGCCTGTACTGGTAGACAAGTATTTATCTGATGCAATCGAGATTGATGTTGATGCACTTGCTGATTCACACGGTAATGTGGTCATTGGAGGGATAATGGAGCACATTGAGCAGGCTGGGGTCCATTCTGGTGACTCTGCCTGCTCAATTCCCACGCAAACTATTGCGTCTTCTTGCTTAGACAGTATAAGGTCATGGACTACAGAACTGGCTAAGAGGCTAAATGTCTGTGGGCTCATGAACTGTCAGTATGCAATCACGGCTTCTGGTGATGTTTTCTTACTTGAGGCAAATCCACGTGCTTCACGTACTGTACCATTTGTTTCCAAGGCAATTGGGCACCCACTGGCTAAATATGCTGCTCTTGTTATGTCGGGAAAATCACTTAATGATCTAGATTTCACTAAAGAGGTGATTCCAAAACATGTGTCGGTTAAGGAAGCTGTTCTTCCATTTGAGAAGTTCCAAGGTTGTGATGTTTTGCTAGGTCCTGAAATGAAAAGTACTGGTGAGGTGATGGGCATTGACTTTGAGTTTGCAATAGCTTTTGCAAAAGCTCAGATTGCTGCTGGGCAGAGGCTACCACTCTCTGGCACGGTTTTCCTCAGCTTAAATGACTTGACAAAGCCCTATCTTGAAAGAATTGCAAAAGCGTTTTTGGGGCTGGGATTCCATATTATTTCAACATCCGGGACAGCTCACTTTCTTGAACTGAAAAGTATCCCCGTGGAACGAGTGCTGAAATTGCACGAAGGGCGGCCACATGCTGGTGATATGGTTGCTAATGGACAAATCCAGTTGATGGTTATCACGAGTTCTTTCGACGCACTTGATCAGATTGATGGTCGGCAGTTGAGGAGAATGGCCCTTGCTTACAAGGTTCCTATAATAACAACCGTTGATGGAGCATTGGCAAGTGCCGAAGCAATCAGAAGCTTGAAGTCAAGCACCATTAACATGATTGCACTTCAGGACTTCTTTGATACTGAGACAGAGGAAGGGCGGAGCAAAAATTTGCTGTCTACTACATCTCTATAGATTGGCTAGACATTTTGGGGTAAGCGCCCCCCCCTTTTTTTCTCCTTGATGCTTCCTTTATCAGTCTTTGCTTGGGATAGAATTTCTTCAAAGTTACTTCTTGCTGGCTAATTTCTTATTGTCTAATAATCCGATTTGATGTCGACGAATTTGAAGATAGGGAGTACTTATGTACTGCAGAATATATTTATAATAAGATGCAGTTTTCATGTGCTTGTACCTGTCTATTATCTTATACACAGATGTATCTATTAACCAAGAGATGGTTGAGAACTGGAAACTATAGCTGATTAATGAGCTATGATCGCTCTGATACTGCATCAAACCGATCTTACGCGTCATGATTGATTTTTGATGGACCCTTTGCCTGGCCATTGGTAACAAGCTTTCTTTTTACAGACAAATTCATCCACAGTAATCAGAATCAAAACATTTTTTTTTTACTGTGACCCGAAATGAAGAGAAACGAGAGCCAATACTGTTGTACAGAAAACTAAGAAATTACTGATTTACTCATAAAACTTCAAACTTTACCACACAGATATAAGCTTTTTTTCAACAAAAAAAAACTTTTTACTGCTTTCCACTAAACCTGACTCATCAAAAGCCAACTCCGAATGCAGCCAGCACAAGCTTCCTATTCCTCCAAAAGCAAGCACCAGGTGTAAGCTTAACTGATGACCTTTGTGGTTCTGACTTGCAGCGCGAGAGAACAAACGACTTGTACCCTTCACCCCCCAACAAGCTTCTTATCGATCGCAGTTCCGCTGCTGTTGGCTGCAGCTGCTGTAGCCATTGGTGGAGCAGCCGGGAAGGAGCAAGATGACCTAGGTGGGTGTAACAAAATAGGAACAGGAACACAGTCAATGCTGATCCTTGATTTGGGTTGATCTCCACCGTCCTTTTATTTGACTTCTGACTGCCCCTGATTATGCTCATTTTTCTTCTTCTCCTGTGGTACACACCTCATGAAATCCGTGCTACACACCCAAGTCTCCTTGGAAACCTCCATTAACTGCTTTGACTCAACCATCATTAACAGTAATCAATCTGGAAATATCTTCTCTTGACCTTCACTCTCGTTTTCCGGGTCGGATTTGGATCTTTCCTGGGCTGTCTCTGTTGAAGTAGAACCCCTTCTTCCTCTGATTCAACGCCCACATTTTCATCTTTAGTTGCTGCTTCTCCTCCTCCCTCATTTTCATCGTTTATTACAATACCCTCAAAAGCATGTCTCCTTTGACTACTACTCAACATCATCTGAACTTTCGCTTTCGCCATCATCTTCCCCTTCACCACCAACTCAATCCCCCTACCTCTCCCTTTCCCTTTCCCTTCTTGCACCGCCACCAGCAGCCACCTCTCGCACCGCCACCAGCAGCCACCTCTCGCACAAACAGCCCCACCGGACCCTCTTGCGATCTCTTCTTTGTCCCTTTGGTTACCCATGCAATAAGACCTTGCACAACAGTAGTTGTTTCTTGCCGTTTGTTGGGAACATCGGTGAAGCTTGGCCACCTTTCATTCTACCGTTTGTTTTCAATCTCCTGGTAAGCCATGAAAAAGAGAGATTTATGAAGGTTCCCTTGCACGACCAGGACAAAATCAATTTTGAAGAGAGTTTAATCGATGACGAAGAAATACGTGAAGTGAAACAGACGTTGAGCTCGCTCCTGGTGCTTGTTGCGTTGCTACTGCTTTTGTTGAAGCTATTACTTCGATGGGGTCTCTAAAGATCCATTTTTTTACTTCGATTTGACCATTTCGATAGCAATACCAAGAAGAACAAACCCACCCCCACACCCAAAAAAAATTCCAATTACTATGTAACAAAGCGCATGAACACTTTATATTGGAATCTAGGATTTAGAAAGTGTTTGTATAGTTTTGTTTTTTGTCATTATATATCATTACATGATAGACAAATGATACCAATTATTCTTACATCTCAACATAAAAAATAAGATTTAATATTGATTTTCTAAAACATTTTACATAAAAATCAATAATTCATTTAAGTTAAATCAAGAACGTAGTTTTTTCTTATCATTGACATAAATAAGAACATATGTGATCCATAATAATTAACCATGCATGGCATTTAAGGATAACGGGTGAAGGTTTCCACCACCATTTTATCAAACGCACCCATGTATACATCTACATTCTATTTTAGTCCAAGATTTGTGATCGTCTCAATAACATCATCAAATTTATTTTTTTCTTTAAAAATATATAATGTCTATCATTATAACTAATACTTATTAATGACTTGACAGCCACACACACACACATACATGTACAAGTAAAAAAAATCTTACGAAAAGATCATAATCATAAAACTTGTTCATGTTCCCCCAATATCCTATTCTCTAACATGCTTTGTTCCACATAAATATAAATTGCAAGTTTATTTATCACATCAATTGAGACCAAAATTTTTACTTTTTCTAAAAAAAAGCATGTATTTATATTGGTTCAGCAAAGATTCCCCATAAGTTCAATCAAGTATAAGCATTTTTAGATGGTTCGACAAAGATACATATTTCAAATAAAGTGTTCAACTATAAAATTTCAGTAAAAATGAAGGGGATAAATAATTAAAAAGAAGTTATGCTCGAGTATTTACAGATTCCGACATTATATACAAGTATACAACAACTTTAGCGCATATCCTAGCAATTTTATGTTGAAAGGAACATTTAGAAGAGAAAAAAAATTCTTAAGTTATTTGTGATGTAGAACTTACTTTAGTCAAGTTCCAGCACTACTTTACCAAGGATCAGTTTCTTCTCTTTAGCTTCATGAGCCTCTCTTACTTGAGTTATCGGAAATGTTTTTTCAACAGGTACAGTCAGCTTCCGGGCTTCTGACAATCTGCGTATCTCATGTAAGCCTTCCAAGTCTGCCCTCATGTATATCCATGAATATTCTGCAAAACACCAAGTGATTGAGATTCGGCAGCAGATCATTAATGTCAAGGCCTATGAATCCGTGTTTCAGAAATGCACCATTTCATGGCACACATTTATTGAACTATAAAACACACGGGATCGAAGTATTGAAGAAAGAAATCTTAGAATAACAGTCTTTTACCAGCATTCATGAATAGAATGGCAAAAACGCATGGATGATGGACAAGATGACGCACGTGTTAAAGTCTTTTAGTGATATTTCTGTTATGGATGACACATACATGATATACCAGCAAATTCAATAAAATGAAATACATGATTATATCTTCTCAGATGCTTTCTTATATAGATTTTAAATAAGCATCATGTAAGACGACAAATAAACCATGTACCTATTCCGTGAGAATATTTGTACTGAATCCTTTTCTTCCACAAAACAGCTGTAGCCGCAGCCGCAGGAAGCCCAATCGGTAATCCATACCTGTCGCTCAGCGCTGCTGCCTCTCCCTACAATGACAGGATCATATACAATTAAACATCCGATAATTACATCGCATCATTCACAAAACCCCCGACAGAAGTTCCCAGCTTGCAGCGCTGGTCTAAGTTCTTAAAAGGTCCGCACAAGGCAGTGATAAAATTCCAGGCAAAGTCCAAGTATTCAAAGTGTTGTAACGAACGAGAAAGGTATTTGAGGAAAAGTGAAGTGCCCTTCTAAGAGCAACAATCATTACAAGGTTCCATCTCTCACCTTAAGTGTCAGATAGTGCCCATCTCTATTCAAAAGATTGATACCTGTTCTTTCTGTCTCGGGCACACCAATGGTGTCCAGGACAGCATCAAATTTTCCCTTAATTACTGACTCAATATCCTGAAAGTAAGCAACTCATTAAACTCTAATCGGTAATCAATATAAGGCAGAGCCAGTTAGTAAGCACTCCAAGCAGCTATCAATAACAAAATAACAAATCACAATTATGACTTCACCACCTCGGAAGTATAATCAACAGCCTGCTCAGCACCTGCTGCCATTAGACGATTTACAGTTTGATTTCCACAAGTAGTTGTAACAGGGCAACCCGCAGCAACTGCAATCTGAATAGCAGAAAAACCTACTGCTCCTCCGCCACCTATTACTAACAGCCTTTGCCTGTTGCATGAGAATTCTATCATATGGGAGGATACATTGCAACAGTTTCCCAGAAAATTTAGTTGTAAAATTCAATTGGCAGATTGTATTGTTATACCCTCTACCAAAAATGACATTTGTGCATGTATAGAGAATAATGAGCAATTTCCGATTGGACAACAATCAAAAGATGAAAAAATAATAATTAAAAAAAAGTTAAAGCCAAAGATAATGAGCATCAGAATAACCATAGGAAAACTGGGATGGATTATAATTTATCAGCCAGGAGAATAATGTTTGCGGAACTAGAAATTTCAGATTGCCATTTGCCGACGCCATTATAGTAGAAGCCCTTTTAAACCTTCTGACCTTCAATGAAAAAAACTATGCACCTCAATAATGATAAAAGATTTCCATGAACAAGTGCAAACAAGTTATCGATGGTAAGAAACTTTTAACGAATCAAAAATATTTGACAACAATTCGTTGAGATTCAGTAAATACATGAAAAACATTGCTGAAAAGAATGAGCATCCTAGAGATAGAAACATACCCTTCAGTTATCCTTGCAGTACTTTTAAGGCACGCCATGCAGTCAATGCAGCAAAAGGGAACCAATTCTCAAATTCATGCTACACAACTATTAGAGTAAAAGGATGGAAATAAACAATATTCTATGAACTATGAAATCAAATATATGAGCAGATAATGTATGGGCAGAGTGTATTATCATCCACCAAGAGCCAACCAGAATGAATGAAAAACAAGTACTCAAAAGTCACGTAAATCTATGCTTTCTGAAAACAGTTGAAACATAAATTTATTCTTCACCGAGAGAATAAGTAAACGATCATATAGGTTACCACATGAGTAACTGAAGCTGGTTTCGGAGAAAGCTCGTCCTCCGAAAGAATTGCATAGTCGGCATATGTACCCCTCACAGCAGTTGGATGCAAAGCACCAAAAACTTCTTGTCCTACAGTCAGTGACTTCACTTGGGCACCAACAGCTGCAACTTCACTGCTAACATCACGACCCAAAATGAGAGGCAGAAGTGGCTCAAATATGGAACGACCATAGCCCGATCGCATCTGGGGAAACAAAAATTTGAGAACTTAATGCCACATAATTTTAGTTGCATGACTTGAAACGTAATTTGAAAGATTTTCTTTATATACACACATATTTAATTTCAATCTTTTTTAAGTTTTTGAAATTAGTTCACCAAATTTATACAGTTTCCAAATCCCACAACTCAAACATGCATTAAGAAATTATATAAGAAAATTCCTTTAAATTCGTTATTTTCTTTGCATACTCTCATGGCTACGAAATGATCAAACTCTAGATGAATGAAACAAATTAAATAAGGAATTCAATTAAAATACCCCTTCAAAATGCATCGAGGAGATTGACTCGTATAGCTACTAATTCAACGGAAACCAACAGTAAACAAGGAACTCATTTCATTTTCTCTCACTATCCTGTGGACCAAAAAATCCGACTCAATAAAGAAATAAAAAAAATTAAGATTATATTATACAAGAAAAGTTCAAGCCACTTACTCTGGTATCAAGGGGATTGATAGAGACAGCTCGGGCTCGAACGAGAACTTCATTGGGCTTAAGATCAGGAACAGGCACATCGGGTCGGAGCTCCAACACCTCAGGTCCACCGAACCGATGCAGCAACACCGCCCTGCACCTGCTGACGTAGCACCGAATCGAACCCACTTTCATTGATAACTCCGACATGGGTCTGGGTTTCAGGCTTTGAAGTTTGAAAAAAGCCATTCCTTTTCCCCCTTTTTTTCTGCTCAAGTTTTCTGGGTTTCAGCTGCTTTCGTCTGTTAAATGATGGGAGAGACGAAATAAGAGTGAAGCAAAGGAGAAACGTGGAAGTGTTCTAGTCACGCAGAAGAAGTAGTTGCTAGTAAAGACCTGAGGGGGCGTGGAAGGAGGAGATGAACATTGCATAAAACGTTTTTATTTGCTTATTTATTACATAAATAAATAAAATAAATCAAAAGTTCTAACCTTATCTAATTAAATCAAGACTTTAGATTTGCAAATTGATGTTTGTTTGACAGAAATGAATATAAGATTATATTAAATCAAATTAATTTAAATAAAGTATAATGTTAAATACTTAATTGATTTTTAAATTTACCATTTATTTTAAAAAAATATTCATTTGATATTAATGATTGTTTAATTACTGTAAATAATTTATTTTAATTATACATGAACCAAACTACTTAAATGATTAAAAGAATTATTGTTATTTCTAGAGATCTCATATTCGTGCATCAGAGAATATAAGAATGTTTAAACTTTCATTATCAAATGGTTAAAAATCTTAATAACATATACTACTTTGTAATCACTCTAAATTAATAAATAAATTTATTTTGTTACAATTAAATTAATTAACTGAAACTTATTTACCAAATATGTTTTATGTTCAAAACAAAAACATGAACCAAAATTTCAACCTTTTAACTAGAAGCTACAAAATTTACACACAAATTTCGAGGACCAAATTAAAAATTTCATGAACTTTGTAGTAATTACATGATAATATCCGCAAACAGAAAACACGAAGGTTAGAATTTCAGTGGGGGCTTAGCCCCATTGTAAATCAGTCTCTGAACCTACTACTTTCCTCCCTGCATGTTTGGAGAAGGGCCACTGGTAGCAATGGTAGTGGTGAATGCAGCATTTTTTGATTCGGGATTACCAGTTTGTGCAACTACTGAAGAAATATTAGTATGTGAAACACCTACTGGAGCTGTCCTCGATACATCGGGATTTTGCTGCTTCTGCATTGTATCAGTTGGTGCGGTGACTGTTGAAGGATCTGTGCTAGTTTTCTGCTGATCTGTGTTAGTCAAGGCATGCAGTTGCTGCAGCCTGTAATCCGTTTCGGGCCGGCGACAAACCTTCCTCAGAGGTACAATTTCCTAAGGGATGGAATACGCAAGACTCAAACAATGCAATATATAGTTTGTGTGGGTGTGTTGAGTGTTAAAACAATAATTGAATCGTTAATTAATACCTCAGACTGATCATGATCGTATCGCACTAAAAATCTACAACGACAACCTCTTACATCATGCCTCCGCCTTTGAGCGTCAAGGACATGGGCATCAAAGTAAAGGGCCTGATCTTTACCTTCCTGAAAATTTTCGAAGAATCCCGAAAATGAATTCTAGAAAAGGTTTGCTTGAAAGAAATATATATTCTCTCGAGATTACTTGAATGTCATCATCAATTGGCATTTGTAAGTGGAAATCTACCTGGAAACAAAGTATAAGGTCCCCCGGAAGAACTGCAACACACTCGGATGCTTCACATGGGAGGGACCGTTGCCTGATATGCTTGCAAACATTAACCCATTCATCCTCCTCAGGTCCAAAACCAGCAAACCGAACCTGTACTTCCTGCAAAGACAGCAAGGCATAATTGGAATCCTCTTTCTTGGATGCCAAATTTTGGTGTTCTTCAGTTGTTCATAATCCACTGAAAAGTTATAGAATAGCACCATCAGAACATTTTATTTAAGTGAAATGGAAAAAGGCATAACGGTGACATTTCAAAAGTATCTATCAATCTCGTGAGAAAAAAGAAGGATTGGATCAAGTAAACATAAGAAATAAGAAGAGAATAATTAGACTGCGTAATCTATCATGCAATATTAAATAAGCACTAGCAGTTGCATATTCAGTGACAATGGGTTCAAAACCTACCAGATCACCTGTTTCCAAATATCTATGGGCCAAAAAGATTGAAACATCGTACCTGAAAATTGGTGATTAAAAGAATTTAGTTGATCGCAAATAATTCATTTATCAGAGAACAAAATTTGAATAAGATGAAAGGAAGCTTCTGTCTCCAAACTTTCCAATCTGAATCGCAAACTTACCATGCACCATCCCTTAAAGATTTAGCTTCAAACTCCATGTAAGATTCTGACATATGCCTTGCTGCACCAGGAACTGGCAATGAAAACGAGGGCTATTAGTCTAAAGTGAGATGACACAGAGAGCATATTTAACACTGCAAAGCACGGAAGCCTCAAGGTGAAGTAGAACTCTAGCATATTTAAACACTGATTAATCACTTGAATGCAATGGTAGGGTTGTCAAGGTTTTTGGCTTTTCGCCCCCTTGTACATCATAGATGTCAGATCTAATGTTGAACCTGTTAAAGTGCATTTAGGCGATATCTCATGCGTAGGAGTTAGTTCTTAATTTATTTTCTGAAAATCACCCAGGTGAATCAGCATTATCCACTAAACTTTAGATCAAACATCATGTTGTTAGCAGAAATCAATCTGTTAATTTGATGCACATAGTGGATAAGAATATCTTTTCATGTAGCCAAGATGTTAATAAACTTTAGAAAAAACATCATGCTTTTAGCAGTGTTCTTATGTTTATGAATGATGCATCTGGACAACTTTAGGTTCAAAATATGTGAAATGAGTTTACTTCTCTTCCGGTATGTGCTTTCCATAAACACAAGCTTCTCAAATATAGATTAGTGATATCCCTTCCTAAAAAGTAAAATATTAACATATAATTAAAGAAAAAAGCACAGCTAAAAGCAGAATGCACAGAATTCGTCCTTAACGTATCATAAAAATATAACCTACTGATTCTGTTTGGTAATAAACAGTTTAAGGAACCACTAAAACTAATAGCTATGACAGAAGATACAAATACCAGTACTCTTATGCATCACCTTTAAAAACATAAGAACACGGCTAAACAATGTGCGACAATGTTCTTTGATATTTCACATGAATAACTACGGACTGTAAAGCATTCAATTAGCAATCCAAATTTGGGAAAAATAAAGGAAGCCTTTAAGACTTTGAAGCCACTACCTGTAGTAGCAGGCATAGCAGCATACATTGGAGCAGTCATAGGGGGAGGCAAGGGAGCAGAAACAGATTGAGGCACATTCCTCAAAGGATTTAAATCATCTCGAGGCATAGATGAAACACTCAACTTCCCAGTAACCTTACTTGATTTTGCCCTAATCGCATAGCGCCTATTTTGGAACCAATTCCATATCTACACAAATTTTCCAGAGTGAAGAACTCTAAATATTTCCTCAGTACATGAAAAATGAATCAAGTTCTTACTTGCTTAAATTGAACAACAATCCTCCCTTTCCGTTCTGCTGATTCACTACAACCAAATAAAATTCCCTTATAGTCTCAATTGCTTATAAGGAGAAAAGAACTATACACCATGCTACACATAGCTCCAAAGGATGTTGATGCACACCTGAACTTGTCGGAAAGACTTACAAGGATCTCCCGAGCAGGCATTTGATTATGGTGCTCTTGAAGAACAGTCTCCATCTCCGCAACCTGGATGTTGGAATTATTTTACGAACTCCCACTTAGCGAACATGGAATAATTATACTTAAATCTATTTAGAGCATTTTGTTTTCATATAGTTAGAAATAATTGAAGCAAGCATATTCTCAGAAGCTCATGTTTCCCATCCATGCTGTGGTTAAAAGGCCATTACAAACTCAGAAAAATCTTGCTACCGAATTCGCCTGTTTTGGTTGTATTGCCACCAGGAATACTGCCTACTTGGAATTTTCATTTAACTCTCACTTTAGATATTCCAATTTTATACAACTTTCCAGTTTTGGAGATACGGTCAGTGATACACAAAGCCTACACCGGGGCTAATCCCCTTCCCACGCAACTTTGAGAGCGCGAAACTTAGCACTATGGTTATTTACCGCACTGAATAAGTTCTAGCAATAGTTAATACTATCATTAACAAAGAATAGAAATATCTAAGCTAATTATTATTAAAAACATCTATCAAGAAAACCTAATTAATCAAAGTAATCAAAGACAAAAAAAAACCAAAAACCCAGGAATAAGCTGAATAAATCAAGCAACCTAACTAATCCGTTTGACATTTTGAATCAGAAAGTCAAAACACCACTGACGAACATCCATATTCAAATAAATGCAATGTAATCGATTTTAAAAATAAAAAAGGGTACCTCAGTTTGGGTAAAACGGAAGGCAGGGCCACCACTACTCGGGAGCCGACCCATCTATTCCGACTCTCAACTCTCACTTGCGCGGGTTATTTTTTCCTCTCTTTTTTCTTCTTTTTACTGTGTTTACGAGGTAAGGAAGGTTGAAGAAGGACTAGATTTTGTTTTGAAACAATTACTGAGAAATTCTGATATAAATTTAAGGGTATAATACATTGATAGTCATCTAACTTTTAAAAAAATCACTTTAACCACTACATTTTTAAAACTTACATTAAATTCGTTGAATTTTAAAATTACTTTTCATTGCAATCATTGCTGTCAAGGACAATCAATATTATTTTTAAATTTATTTAACAATATATTATAGATAGGGTGACGAAGACTTTTTACTTAAGTTTTTAACTAATACTTGTCCAACCTATTTTAATCTTTTCTAAATGAATTAATGTCGATTGACTTGAGACACCAATTCAATAAAAACTTAATGAAAAGTATAAACTCTCTCATTTAACGATATATATATATACATATATATATATATATATATATCCAATAAATCTAACACTAAAATAGATATTTCCATATTAAACTCCAATTAGATTTGTCAAGGAACTAGTAGGAAAATATTGCATTCTACATTCAACAGTTCCATTACAAACAGAATACATGCAGCACTTGATGCAGTAAAATTCAACTATAACGATTCCATTAAAAACATCTTTTGTTTAGTATGTTTATAGCAAAAAAAAAAACATTGGTTTCATGGGCTTTTCTTCCAACAGTGCAGCACAAACATAGAAATTTCATTGCTTCCTAAGCATTGTCGTCGTATTCATCGTTTTTGACCCTTTCACATTCATCGATCCATTCACTGTATCTGTCATCAAAAAACCGAGTTAAGAAACAACAAAGTCTAATGATAATAAGCTGAATCTCCAACAGGATCCGCGTTGATTGTTACTTACATTTCTATCGGCTCTGTCAAAGCTGCAAAAACAGAAGAAAATAAGGATAAATCTTATGTAACTACTCAAAGGCACAGCAAATGGAAGTCAAGTGTTCAATAACCATATCTTACTGATCACCAAGTAAAGCAATGAATCAACAAACAAATATAGAAGAATCCCTTCCCCATCTTTACTACATTCTCAAGACTAATTTTATTTGTACCGAATACGAAAAGTAACCTTCCCAAGATGAGGCATCATCAATAACTTGTCCATGCTACAGCAAACCGAAACAAAACCGAAATCCCTTCTTTTATGTCAACTCAATGTTCCATAAAACTATTAGATTCCACGATCAATTTCCTTATCACCATCCATCATCATCTCTAGCAATAATATATCAAACATCATTTAAACTACTCATATCTTATGATTCCATCAACAGGTCACAGATGCATATGCTTTAAAAATTTGCTTACTTTTTTCCTTATTCCATATGCTTCCGAATTATGACTCGGACATCAATGGATGCCCTTATTGAAGTTAATAAACAGGAACAATCATTTGTAGAAAGGTTTAGGTGAATCGAATTTTCTCGAATGTGATAATTGCAAGCGAAACTTTAGAAAACATATGGAAGATAATAATCGTCTCTCCCCTTAACTTTGACGATAATGTAAATCTTAGAACCAAAGCAGCTGAAAATTAACACACCTGTAATGGTGGTGCTGTAGCTCTCCTGACAAATCCTACAAAATGCTTCACCAATAGAGTTCTTCATATCCCTAAAACCAAATCAAAGCAAACCCTAAGTTCCCAAAAGAAAAAAAATCTAGAAACTAAATCCCGCTTAGCACCCCTCTTGTCACCCTATAAAATGTGATGAAATAAAGTATACAATCCCTAGAAATTAAAACTACCAATCGGTTGATCAAGGTGCTAAGGCCTCCATTTCCACAAATTCCAGTTTAAAAAGTACAAAAATCTAGGCGCAAAGCAATCAATAAATGAATGAACAAATATCAAAAGTAAGAATCAATGAAACTTACAGGCGGCACTCAACGCCGGTTCCATGGTTGCAAAAGGGGCAACTGAAAACAGTGTCAAGCTTGTCCATTCTCTTCTTGGGTGGTGGCTTTGCCCTCGACTTTCTTTTCCCCATTTAATTAGAAGAAGAAAAACACCTTAAATCTGTTATCACCTATCAAATAATGATGCAATTAGATTTTCAAACAAGAAGAAAACAAGAAAGAATCAATCCAAGAAACTTAAAACCCTAATTAAACTGTTAGACTCTGTTACGATGATCAAATAATCAAAATGAATAATAAAGAACAAAAGATTCAATATTGTCATTTTTTCTTTGAAAAAAATGAGTATTTGTTTTACCTTGTGAAGAGAGATTAGCTTGAGATTGAAAACCCAGAAATCAAAGCAACGATGAATAAAGAATTTGACGAGAAAGATCAACGACTATATATATAGAGATTTTTTTAAATATATATACCGAAAGGTCTGGAAGGTGATGATAAAATTATGATTTACGCGGGCCAAAAAGGAACGGTAAAACGGTTTTAAAAAGCTAAATCCAGCAAAGCGACACCGTTTTCTGGTCTATATCTATTTAAGCCAAAGCTCAAGTAGTCCACCGAACAAAACTTTCAAAAATTTATTAACCAAAAAATTTTTCCTTTAATCTTTAACCGAATAAAAAAGTTCAAAAATAATTAATCGAATAAAATTTGGTTAACTGAAATTTATAAATAATATATATTACGTATTAGATATTTTATGTTCTCGGTTAATCCCGTTAAAACCGAAGTTTAAACACTCTAATATATAAATAATATATAAAATATTTAATAATTTCGGTTAACCGATTGATTTCGAATTGAGTTTCAATAAAAAAATTAAAAATTATTAATTATTATCCGACTAAACCTAAAATTAATCGACCGATTAATTGAAAAACGATTCAATCAGTTAAATCAATTTTAACTGAAATTTGAACACCCCTAAATTGTTTATGGTGATTTTCTCACTAATCCCAAAGTCTTTCATATTTTATCACTAAATAAATAATCGAAAGCTTTGTTGTTCATTTAATTCTAAAACTTAGAGGTAATGTATGGGAAAGAAGATAAACAAAAGATTAATTAGCAACATGAGACTAAAAAAAATTATTATTTTAATATTTATTTTAATTTTAATATTTTATTTTGAGATAAAATTATCTCTAATCAGGTAAAAAATTATTATTCGATTAACATTCAATATTTGTTGTTAATATGATGTGTTTAAATGATGACGTGATACATATTATATATAGATAAAATGATGATTTAATACATGTCATGGTCTAAAATGATAATATGGTATATGTCATGGTCTAAAATGACGATATGATACATGTCAAGTGTCTAAAGTAAAATGTACACATAACTTTAAACACGTAAGATTTGTCACGAAACCATTGATTGTTAATGAACTAATATTTTTTATTAAACCATAGATCGCTTTATCTCGAAATAAAATATTAGAGATAATTTTAATATTATATTTTAAAAAAATGTTGCTCTTCTGGTATTAAGATTTTGCCTTGAATAATCTGGACCGACCTGCATCACACAACTAATTTTGATGAGTAAGTATCGCAACAAAGATTTTCTATATACACAAAAGCTTTAACTCAAAACCTTACTTTATATATCACATGTAAATATTTTTTTTTGTGTGCCTCGGTGGGCTAAGAGGGTTATTGGGACTTGGGAGGAAGAAGCTTGAGCTTATATTTGCCCATGGACTAGTCGAGTCAGGCCTATGTAATAAAGGAATATTACAGCAAATATCGTGTGTGTATATATATAGGGTTAAATTCTACGTACACAATGTAATATTTAGTTCTATATAGATTTAGAATCATTGGATGAGTGAAATATATTAATGAGATTGATTATTTATTTTTTTCTAATAAATATCTTATAATTTTCTATTTTTAATCTCAAACATCTATTTTTACTCATCCAACTATCCTAAATCTATATAAAACTAAAGAAATTTTACAAAAGAAATTTTACATTTTGTAACAAGATCATATCTTATATATATATATACACACTCACACGTCAAGATAAATGATATAGGAGGTTGAAGATGGGGGTGTTGGTAGACTTGAAAAATGGACAAAATCCAGCATAATAAATCCAACCTTGTTCCTGTCTTGTCCTCAACAAAGTGGAACAATCTGGTCTGAACTTTACACATTGAAGGAAATAATGCTATTACAAGATGAAGAAGAATATACCTTGTTAATTACACTTTTTTATTTAACTAGACTATATTCTCCCCGTCAACTCTCAATCATTTGATGATGAACACTTAAATAACGTTTAATCTCCGATATTTTAATTTAAGACCTCTAAAAATAATAATTATTTATTTAACTGAGGTAACTTGATTCGTGTTTTAATTTATCGATCTAAGTTTAACTAATGGTTATGTTTTTATAGATAAGGTTGAAAATGGATGTGGGACAAAGAGTCATGATGAAATTATGTATAAAATATCTCATCAGAATTAAAAAAAAGGAAAAAGTTAAAGAATCAATGGCCACTTAATATTTGCTATGATGGCTTAGCTTTCAATCTTAAAATAAAATAATTAAGCAATTAATTTAGGAGTTGAAGTTAAATTTACCAAATTAGCTATTGCCTCGTGTTCCAATCAGTTTCCTCGTCATAATTTATTTGATGTTCCCATCATTATTTCATACTATATTAAGAAATCCCCACCACCTTTCTTTAGTCTGGTTTTAAATCAAGTATAATCATTAGAACTATAAACAGTAGAATTTAAATAACTATAATCATAGTTAAATTTTATTATTTATTATCAGATTAGTAAAAGATATTTATATAAAATGTTTTTATATTATGACTTAATTCTAAACTAATTTATAAACTTTAACTTTTTATATCGGCTGCAAAAGATTTTCCTATTTGAAATTAATCCTTAAATTTTAAAATGGTTCGTATCAATTCTTAAACTATCAATATCATTTAATTTTGATCACTCCATCAACGCGTTATTAATTATACTAGTTTAAAAATAATAAATTGTTTTTGAAGGCTGTGGAATTGAATCTACAACTTTCTAAAAAAATCATGATCATTAAAAACATATTAATTTTTTAGGAGGTCACGAGTACAATTTTCAAGACCTTCAAAATTATAATTAAAGACACATTAATAGATTGACTAAAATATAATGATATTAATAGTGTGAGGATTGATACAAAAGATTTTAAAATTCATAAATCAATTAAGAATGTGAATCGTAGTTTAAAAATGATATGTCATAGTTTATAATCTGAGTCTTGTGGAAGATTTCAAAGTTTACAAATCATTTTAAAATGTGGATCGTAGTCACATTTTAAAGATCTATTGTCCAATTAACTCAACTAATAATTATGATGTGTAATAATAATGGTTTTAATATTAACATTTGTTGGATCAATCGGTGAGGAGTTAAATATTCTCACTAAATTCTTAAGTTTTTTTTATTATTAATATAGAATAAATACAAAATAATATATTTTCAAAGATAACTCTTAGACATCACACCCCTGACATTATGGTGTTCGAACTCAATACATAAAGAAATAACAACAATTCATCTATCACCGAAGTTATAAAAGTTATATTTTTGTTTAATTTCAAATGTAACCAATACTTATATGTTTATAAGAAAAAAAAAAATATAGTATTAAAAATATTAAATTTAATGGAAATTTGTTAGCAAAATTTTGCTGTACATAGCTAGGGTTTTGTTTTGTTGTTTGAAAGAGGAAAAAGGAAGGGATAAGACGACAAGTGAAGCTAGGGATTGCATGTAAATTGGTAGGGCAAGGCGTGCCTACAAAGCGTGGGATCTCCCTTCCAATCTTTTGCTTTTTGTGTAGGAAATTTATTGGGCCCACAACGTGCTCAAGATTGGAAGTGTATATTTGCATGGGAATATGCCCAGGAAAATTCAGCCTTTTGTTCCCTCCCCACACCCTATTCTTTTGCCCCCTTTAGATAGCAAAACTCATCTATAACTAAATCTATTCATCCGAATATTCGTATATATTCATATTATTATTATTTTTACATTTAATTAAAATAATACATTTTCGAAATATATGTTAAAGGGAATCGAGTTAAAATCATGTATATCATAAAAAAGAAAAATAGTTACGTGTCTTCTTATTTTCTATAATATTATTAGTTGGTCTAGATTCACAATGAGTATACGCAAAATGAACCAAAAGTTATAGGTAGGGTCTTGGGCCCCTTTGGTTAATGGCATAATTGCTTGTTTACTCTCTTTAAAATTTTAAGGCTCAAGGGTTATTTTTGCTCATGTAGGATATTAAATTTATCATTTTCGTCCCCATGGTATTTTCGTATTATTTTGTTTAATTGTATTATCTTATCCCTATAATTCAGTTTTGACTAACATAATCGTTAGTCTTTTGCGGCGTATGTAGACGTCAACAATTTCCACATAAAACCAATATTACTGACGTGGTTTGATGATGACGTGACATTATTAAAAAATAAATAATAAATTATTTTAAATATTTGCTAAACACAAGGTTATGAATAATCTCTAAATTTTTAATCTAATACATTAATCTCATTGAAATAAATAATAATATTCTGAGAAATTTTTTAATTGTTGTGTTTAGTAAATATTTTACCATAATCTCTTAATCCACATACGCAGAAGACTAATGATTCTGTTAGTCAAAATAGTTAACGATATAAGATGATGCAAATAAACATCTTTGAGGATTAGGATGATGCAATTAAATAATTTCGAGAACTAAATTAATGCGAAAATATCATAAAGATGAAAATAATAAATTGGATTTATTAAAATGATAAAAGCAGTCCTAAAGCAAATATTTAATAATTCAATTTAACCCCAATTAGTCTTTTAATTAAACAAAAAAAATACATTTTGACTTCTCTAAAGAATTAATAATTCAATATAAGATGTGTTACAAAAAAAATAAAAATATTAGTCGAATGTTTAAAGATGTATTGAAAAGACGTATTAATAGTAATAAATAATTATATTATTAATATGAACATATTAATAATATTATAAAAACATTATATAAATTTTGAATATATAGATATGATATTAAAACTTGTTTTAATAATATTTATTATTATTATAATTTATCTAAAAATATATTTTGAAGTATCAAATCAATAATATATTACAAAGTAAATAGTACTTTAATTAATTTCAAAAGCTTTTTCAACTCTTGCTTTTATAAATTATAGATTTAGACAAACATACATGAAAAACTCGTAATTTTCAGGATCTTTATATTTTAAAATTTTAAAAGTAATTATTTATTCACAAAATAACACACTTTTTTTAATTTATTGTTATTTTAAAATAC